GTGTTGACAATATTATAATACACACAGACATATTATATAGATGTGTTGACAATATTATAATACACACAGACATATTATATAGATGTGTTGACAATATTATAATACACACAGGCATATTATATAGAGTGTTGATAATATTATAATACACACAGGCATATTATATAGATGTGTTGATAATATTATAATACACACAGACATATTATATAGATGTGTTGACAATACACACAGGCATATTATATAGATGTGTTGAGAAATCGGTTGATCTGCATCATAAGCCGAGGATACGCTAGAAATGCAGTTAGCAAATCAGCAACGTTGTATTATAATTAATTTATTCGATACTCAGAACAGACCCCGTGCTAGAAAGACCGTATATTTTCCAAAGATAAACATATCACATCTATTACTGCACTATCGCACCTACAAATACGTGACTCGCTTCTGACACGTACAAGTAGGTCCGTAGGTGACTTCATTCCTGATTTTTTGCAAATCCAGTATCTACTTCTTTTGTCTTACGACTTACTCTGTAAGTCTGACGCTAAAATAATTGCTAAATTTAGTATTCAAATAACAAAAGACGGATAAATAATCGAAATCACGTGTGCACTTCAGAAACGTGTGTGTATTTGTTTAATATTCAATATTGTCTTATATTCACTCATTCTTTGCAGACGGTAGTCGCTGCGGCCTTTGATGTGTATGTATGTTAGTACATTCACATCACAGGGTTAGTGAATATCTCTGGCGACGCGCAAACAAGAGACGCAATCGCAAACCCATCTCAACGCAATAAAAACACGGATTATCAATTCATTCCAGTTTCACACAAGTGAATAGTGATATTTTACATTACCAGTATAATTTAAAGAAGTCCGTGCTTAATAATAACAACCTTAGTAGTATCATATAACGAACTCAGTGCTTAATAATAACAACCTTAGTAGTATCATATAACGAGCTCAGTGCTTAATAATAACAACCTTAGTAGTATCATATAACGAGCTCAGTGCTTAATAATAACAACCTTAGTAGTATCATATAACGAGCTCAGTGCTTAATAATAACAACCTTAGTAGTATCATATAACGAACTCAGTGCTTACTAATAACAACCTTAGTAGTATTATATAACGAGCTCAGTGCTTACTAATAACAACCTTAGTAGTATCATATAACGAGCTCAGTGCTTACTAATAACAACCTTAGTAGTATCACATAACGAGCTCAGTGCTTACTAATAACAACCTTAGTAGTATCACATAACGAGCTCAGTGCTTACTAATAACAACCTTAGTAGTATCACATAACAAGGCCCGTACTTAATGACTTAAACCTTATAAGTATGAGTTAAAGAAAACAGTACTTAATAACACAAACCATACTAGTAATGTTTAAAGATATACCGCGGTTCTCATAAAGTTTGCCAGTTAATCTGTTATCAGAATCATTGTTTATTTACTTACAAGTCATGTGTGTTAACATGTGAAAGGTTGATGTTTATCAAGTGCAAATAGCGACCCCTAGAGCTAGCCATCAAAGTTTCTCTAATGCCTCACTCAATACAGATGGATAGTATCTGCAGATGTTTATCTGGCTTACACTGATATTTGAACTCGTGCCAGAATTTTGTGATTACAAAACTAAAAGTTTAAACTAGATGAATACTTACTAACGAGATGGAGGTACAGCGCCGCCCACAGGCAAAAAACAGCAGATCGATATCGGGTTAAACATTTCATTTTGCTTCTTCTTTCCCAGTAACCTTACATTTTATTATCAACCACAGCTGTAGCTTGCCTTAATACATGACGTACGATTTGATAGTGTTGGCGCTAAAATTTCCTTGATCTAATATCCTGTATTAGTTGTCACTCTCTTCCTGTCCGTATGCCTTCTGAACACGCGGCTGGTTTCGGCGTTTACTTTAAAGCGTAACTGTGCAAGCGGAATAAGTCCACTACGTGTGTAGGGAGAAAGGCAGCGTTAGATCAGCGGTGTGACGTCGTGCTTCACGTTACATGTACTTCCTCTTATCAGTTGGTGGTTTCGTTTTTTTTTTGTCCCTCTCTCGCTTCCAAACTTAAACAATTATTTATATTTATCCTAATGTACAATACCCTTCGCTCTAGTTGGCGTACTGTTTGGTTAAACATCTGTTTTATCTTGAATTTCTATATCACTTTTTACGTATTACTCAGATGTATTATTTTCTAATGAAATACAGTTTACTCTGTCGTACAAAGACGTACTGTTGAAAAGCTAACTTTTTAAGTTCGCACAATTACACATAATAACACACATGTTTCGTAAGCTAGGGTAAGAAACAGAAGGGAATCCGGACCACTCTTCAAAAGGCAGCAAAAGATGCTCCCTGTGTCATGTAACGTGTATATGTTCATTGATAACACACGTTTCGTAAGCTAGGGTAAGAAACAGAAGGGAATCCGGACCACTCTTCAAAAGACAGCAAAGATGCTCCCTGTGTCATATAACGTGTATATGTTCATTATAACCTGCTCTTGGGACTTTTGTTTCGTGACCAATAAAATACCAGGCAGTCTTCCTTACATGGAAGCATGGTGAACCTATACATAATATATCAGTCCAGAGTTGTCGTCGTAAGTTTTTCTCCAGCCTAACTAGTAATTAATAAAAGATATTTATAATTACTTTGTAATACTATTTGATAAACAAAATCGAAACGATCTTCGAAACGAAAGTGCGAGTATAAAAGAGAAAGAATTTAAATCCGAGGCCCCGTAGCCACTTCCACTAGTTTATTAACGGTGATTCTCAATCATCCATGGCCAAGACAAAAGCGATCACGTTTCCACAAGAATTAATGTCTCTCAGGAATCAGACAATCACTCTCCTCAACCCTGAACTACGTGAACGTAAATTGAGATATTTTCTCTCTTTCTATCCCAACCAAGTAGAGTCTTCTGAATTCGTAACTTCCCCTCGAGGCACCGCAGCAGGAGTTGTATTTCTAAGCGGCATGTTCCACATATATCTGGTTTAGTCAAATCATTGATAGAGCTTAGAAGATGGCATAAGATATATGGTCAAAATTTATATTCAGTGACACGTCTAGATTCGGTTTGTTGAGCACTTTTTTGATGTAGAAACGGTGTGAGTCTGCTTGGAGAAAAGTATCGGTATCTATAAAAACATGTTCACATGTGAAATGAAAGTAAGAATATCTGATTACAGTGAGTGTGGTGTATAAATGAACGGAATTTAGAAAAAAAATGATTAGAACATAATATTACGATAAATATTTTATAAACATTACATTTAATCTATGTCCTCGTATCGTGAAAATGATTACGTAAAAAAACTGCATAGACGATGAGCCAAACGCTACCTTTTAATAAGTTAGATTTTTTTGTGGCTGTTTTAAAATATCATTAAAACAGCTGGAATTTAAAACAAAAATATAGCATGTCAAATAAACACACCGTCTCCATGGAGCGCGAGTTGACCCTGTGGTGGTGCTCTGTATTTCAGGACTTGGTAGCTATGTTCGAACCTTGCGATACCACAAAATTCACCGCAATTTAAGTTGTGATTGCGTTATAATAGTGACAGTCAATTCCTTAGTGTGGACTTTTGGTTCGTGACCAATAAAATTGCAGGAAGCTTTTGTAAATGTAAACAAGGTAAATGTCTACATAATGTATCACTGTGGTAGAGTACTGTTGAGTGGCTATCTTCCTCTAGTGAATTGTTCAAAATTAGGGACGGCGACAGGTATTCTCAGTAGCTTTACTAGAAAATCTCAGTCAAATCTCGTAACTAACTTTAAGACTTAATCTCAATATCTGACCACATGTCATGTATAAACAAAGAATTGCAAATATTTTTATGAATATATATTGTTAGTAATTTCATATTTTAAGTTGAATGCCTTCTAATACACGCCTTTGGTTAGTTTCGTTTACTCTCCTGTCTAATGATGAGTTTGATGAGTTTTACATCGTGAAACTAACATAGGTTTTAAAATGTTAAAAAGGTACAATAAAAACTTCCAGAAGAAACCCTCTACCAATCAAGTGTGTATTAACATAAATGGCTAACTAAAGCGATATTTCTTTCTAGTCAAATGATAATCTGTTAGATTCCAGATTTTTTCCTGAAGAAACGTCTCGACATACGTGGACTTGTATGTATCGCAATGTCTTGAAGAAAAGTCAATATATGGTCAATAATATCACTTTCTCACACGATATACTTTATTTGAATGTATGATGATGTAATATAACTGAATTTAGAATTTTTTTATTTCTTCGTTTATTATCTATTTTTAGTTTTTTAGTTTGATACGAAGATTGTTTGGTGATTGTGATTATTTGTTGGTAGATAGGCTGGTCGGTGGTTGGATGGTTGCTTGGTAGATAGGCTGTTTGGTTGGTTATTGGTAAGTAGATTGGTCGGTGGTTGTATAGTTGGATGGTAAATGAGCTGCTCGGTTTTGGTTTGTTGGTAGGAAGACTGGTTGGTTGTTGATATGTAGGCTGAATCACGGTTGTATGTGCATTGCTTGGTTTGTTTTTGGTAGATTGATTGGCTGCTCAGCTGTTAGACGGTTCACTGTTGGTAGAAAGGTTGCTTGTGTTTTTGGCTGGATGGTTGATTGTTGGTAGGTGCGCCGCTTGGTGCATGGATGGCTAGTTATTTCGTAGAAAGGCTGCTTGGGGTTAAATGATTGGTTGTTTGGCAGTAGGTAAGTTAGTTGATGGTTGATTAGTTTGTAGAAAGGCTGCTTGATGGTTGAATGGTTGGTTGTTTGGCGGTAGTTAGTTTAGTTTATGGTTGATTAGTTGGTAGAAAGAGGTGGTTGAATGATTGGTTGTTTGGCGGTGGGTAGGTTAGTTGATGGTTGATTAGTAGGTAGAAAGGCTGCTTGGTAGTTCAATGGTTGGTTATTTGGCGGTAGGTAGGGTAAATGATGGTTGATTAGTTGGTAGAAAGGCTGCTTGGTAGTTCAATGGTTGGTTATTTGGCGGTTGGTAGGGTAAATGATGGTTGATTAGTTGGTAGAAAGGCTGCTTGGTAGTTCAATGGTTGGTTATTTGGCGGTAGGTAGGGTAAATGATGGTTGATTAGTTGGTAGAAAAGCTGCTTGGTGGTTGAATGAATGGTTGTTTGGCGGTAGGTAGGTTAGTTGATGGTTAATTAGTTGGTAGATAGTCTGGTTGTTGGTTGGATGGTTAATTGTTGGTAGGTACTCTGGTTGTTGGATGGATGGTTGTTTGTTGGTAGGTAGTCTGATTGTTGATTGGATGGTTGGTAGCTCTTATGTAGGCTGCTTAGTGATTGGATGGATGGTTGGTTGGTATGAAGGTTGGTTGCCGTTTAGTTGTTGTAACATAGACTGCATAATGATTAGTTAGTTATTGGTAGGTAAGCAGGTTGTTTGTAGGTGGGCTAGTTAATGGTTGGATGGATGGTTGTTTGTAGGTGGGCTAGTTAGTGGTTGAATGGCTGGTTGTTTGTAAGTGGGCTAGTTAGTGGTTGGATGGCTGGTTGCTGGTTGGTTGTTGATAGATAAGTTGGTTTTTATATTTTTTGGTAGGTGATCTAGTTAGTGGTTGAATGGCTTGTAGGTAGTAGGCTGTTTGATGGTTGGTAGGTAGATTGCTTAATTAGCTTAATATAAATATGTAGTTAGAAGTGACTAAACTGGACATAAATCTGACTACCATTCTGCGAATTTGAAATAACGAATAAAATTCTAAATTAATATGCACTCTCAGAGGTTCGCATCAATCCTGGCGGAGGATCCCTCGGTAAGATGTCCTTAGGGAAATTCCTGGAGTTAGTATTCAGAACCAATAACAAAGCAAGTTTAATTTTTATAAATCAAAGATATAAAGAAACTTGGTAACAGATATCCGATTGTGTTAACCAATAGCTTTCAAGCAATCAGTAAGGTTTGATATATTTTTTTCGACTCGCATATCATTGATGGTTATATTGAAATATTTACTCAAGAGTTATATGTAAATAGTGTATATCTTATTAAGAATAGAACAGCACTTGTTCAAGTTTCAAACAAGTGTCTTAAAGAAATAAGAGCAACGTTTAATACTGTCCCCAGTTTGAAAATACAACCAAAAATTGTTTGACTTAAAAATTTTACTGTATAAAGATAAAAGAAAATATTGTGAGACTGGGAAAAATTTCGTCCACTCTACAGGTTTCGTTGTCTTACTGCATCATTATCAGGAGTGCAATATATACAATTTCAAAAATCACATAATCAAATTTGCATGCAATTTATCATATTGTTTTATCTTTATACAGTAAATTTATCAAGTCAAACAATTTTTATTCTACATTGAGACTGCAAACAATCTCATTTTTAATATTTAATGTGTATTATTAAACGTTGGCTATGTTTATTTAATACATCTTTGTAGTGTTTAGCTTAAAAAATG